TCAGCCTCCAGGGATTCAACAAAGCCTTATAGAAGCCCTATATACCCTAAACTCCCCACCTGTAGTTTCCTTTAACCAAGGCGCCTTGCGGAAGCGCTAGGGTGAACAGCATCTCCGGCTCGACGCCGAACTTGGCGCTCTCTCGGGCGCTGCCTCCGTTTTTTGGCCACTGCTGCCAGGGGTTGCTGTTGGATCCACGCTAACCCTGGCACCCCAACCCTCAACCCTAGACCCTAAAGCCCTAAACCCCTAACCCTTCAAGTCCACCCTAAACCCTAACCCCCTAAACAATAAACCCCTAAACCCTAAACCCTGAACCGGAAACCCGAAGCGCTGAACCCTACATGGAGCCTAAGCCCTGACCCTAACTAATATAGGGGCCTTGGGAGTCAGAATAGGGTTTTGGGGCCCATTATACTATAACTATAATGAGGAACCCCCAAACAAGAGTCTGGGTAATTATTAAGACCCCTATCTTACCGAATGCTCGCAGCAGGGGCCGGAGCAGGCATCTGCTGGGTGAAGGAGACCGGGAAGACCTCACGGAGCCGTCCGTCTTTAGGGCTTTAGGGCTTAGGGCTCTAGGGCTTTATACCCTAAACCCCAAAACCCCTATATCCTTAAGCCCTCAAGCCCTAAAGCCCTATATCCTAGACCCCTCAAACCTTAAACCCCGAAGCCCGAAACCCACAAACCCCCAAACTCTGCAAAACCAGACCCTCACTCGACAGTTCCCCTGTGGTTTCCTTTAGGCCGCTGAAGACATCGAAAACCGCTCACCCAAACAACAACGAACGGTTTAGGGTCTAGGGTTTAGAGTTTAGGGTTCAGGGTTTAGGGCATCTACTACAGACGGGAGGTCGCAGGAAGACCCCCCGGATTTCTGGACGGTTTCTTCTAGGTCGTGACAGCCAACTTCTCTCTCAGAGCTTTATGCATATCCTGCTTCTGGCTTCGCACTAGTCCCAAACCCAATTCTAGCTAAGAACTCAAGCCCGTAATTCATAGCTATATATATACATACATACATACATACATACATACATACATACATACATACATACATATATATATATATACACACACGATCTCTTCTAGAACCTTATGTAAAGTCAAAGGCGTTAGAGCCTCAGAGACTCTCTTATAGAACCTTCTGAACAAAAAGCCCTTCGAGAGCCTTTGAAGCCCCCAGAGAACCCCCCCCCACCTCTTGTCCCCTAAACCTTTAACCCCTACACCCCTCAACCCCTCAACCCCTAAACCCCTAAACCCCTCAACCCCTAAACCCCTAAACCCCTCAACCCCTAAACCCCTCAACCCTAAACCCCTCAACCCCGAAACCCCATCTTTTCAAGCGTCCCCGACCAAAAAAATCGTCGAAGCCAAGAGGCTGGAGAGCTCCACGGGCTCCAGCGCAGCGGCCGCCGTCTCCAGCCACTCCAGCAGCCGCGTGGCGTGGAAGGTTCGGGCGTTCGGCCTCCGGTGGTTCATGTAAAGGCCTTGTACAAATCATTGTGGGGTTTAGGGTTTAGGGGCCTGAATAATTAGAATAGGGTTTTGGCCTCCCTTTGTCGTCTAATTATGATAAGGAACCTATCGTCTAATTATGATAAGGAACCCTAAGGAATAATAGAGCTAATTATTTAGGCTCCTATAGTAGGGTTTAGGGTTTAGGCTCCGGCTTGAATACCTACTATAATAACGTACTACAATATACTAGAATCTCCCAGGATGCGCTCTTTTACAGTCTTTTTCTTGGAGGTTCCGAGAGGCTAAGGGCTTTCGGGTTTTGAGGTTTGGGGGGCTTGGAAGCTTAGGGGGTTTGGAGGTTGGGGGGGTTCGGGGCTTGCATGGATATGGCAAGCTTCGGAGGATAGGGATTTTTGGGGGTTAAGGGGTCTAAGCTTTTCGGTGATTTCAAATCTCAAGGCTCTTCGGGCGCGGACGAGGGCTTCAGGGTTTAAGGATTCGGAGAGCGCGCGTCTTTTCGGGCTGCACGGGTTCGGCGCACCGGACGTTCCGCGCGCGCGAGTGAGTGAGTGCGGGTCTCGGATCTGGGTCCCGAAAGTCGAGGTTGTGCAGTTCGTTGGTCCTTGGCGGTTTGGGCTTCAGGGTCTTCAGGATAGAAAGGTCGGGATGGGTGTTCACGCCAAGCAGCAAGGTGACCACGAAGCCGTCCAACTCGCCAGCGCTCTCCACGTCCTTCAATCGCTGGGCGACCCAGTCCTGCTCCAGAAAAGGTCACTTCTGAGGCGGGAATACAAGCCGTCTAACCAATTCGAACCTGAGTTTTGATGGGTAGCATAGTCTCTTGTACTCGGTTGTATAATATGTAACAAATTCTACTATGTTACAATACCTTAGGGTTTAGGGTTTGGGGTTTAGGGGCCTCTTATGACCTGCACCCCACGTCAGCACTTCGAAGCATTTTGCCGCCTCCAGCTTCTCAACCAGCCGCGAGTCCACGAGCTCATTGGCGTCCCCGTTGCACAACTGGAGCTCCTGACCAATGTAGGGTTTCGGGATTTAGGGGTTT